TGTGGGGGGCTGAGCGGCTCCCACAGAGAAATAATCTTTGAAGGCAGGATGGAAATCTGGATGAACTGACTGCACAGACCATGTTTTCAGGAGGACTTTCTCACTTCAACATAGATTCTAACTACTTTCTACCCGCTGATCACAGCTAATATAGCAAAGCTGCTCTCTGGCATCGAACACAGGAGCAGCAGAAGCATCTGGACTCACTTTACTGGACGGCTGACATTAATGAGGATCAAAGAAGAAGCAGCAGAAGCTTCTTTGATGGCGTTAGCTGTGAACGTAGCATCAGGCTGAGGAGACTCACCGCTGTTCAGGATGGAGAGGTCGCTGAAGTTGGCCCAGCAGCCGCTGAACAGGATGGTGGTGTTTCCTTCCAGTCCGCCCACCGGATCTCCGCTGCCGTTCTTCAGGCTGGCGCTCACGGTGAGCGTGGTCACGCCCACAGACACACAGTTACCCTGAAACAGCAGCACAGGCCCGGTTAGCGAGCAGGAAACGCTGCGGCAGGACTTCATCAGGTCCTCCATGCTGACGCTAACTTCTAACCAGACGTTTGGGTGCAGCTACGTTAAAACCTGCTGTTAATCCATCAGATTCAAGCTCTTATCTCTTCACCTTCTGTTGGGATCATTTTCTGAAGTGGAGAAACAGACTTTTGCAAGAGAGACATTTATTTTACATCTTTAGACGGAGAAAAAGGCTCTGGCTGGAGTAAGCCCCGCACACACTCTCCATGGGGACCATCCCACCCCCTGCATAAAGAACTTTCTCACACATTCGGAGGAAAACAACTTCAGTTCATTGAGGACGTTAGGTTCATATATCTTTCACTGTTTCTGTTCTCGGCTTTAGGGAGCCTCAAGCACCTTAGAGGGGGAAGGTTATCTATATTTCACGCTTGTCTGGAGGGAGGAGGCCACTGCTCTCTGCCCCCCCTACCTTAAATATTTCAGCATAGAGACTGGCAGAAAGTTTCTCTACAATAACTGAACAGTTTAATAATGATTCTGCTGCTAAATAAAAGTTTAAGCCCGGTTTATACTCAGAAACCAGATCATCTGCGTGTGTCGCGGTGAACGCAGATATGCCCCGCCCCCCTTCCGCTGACACTCTGCTGCACATCTCCCAAATCGTAGCGTGAGAACCCTTTTTCCACCTGGATCCCCGCTCTTTTTGGCCCTCATGTCGCACAAACTTGCCCCCACTTCCTCGCCGCCTCGGCCGTATCTAGACCCACAGCTAGTTCCTGATTGGCCCTCTGGCGTTGTGGCGTGGAATAACATAGCGCCGACCACGCTTCAATATTGAGCATGAATCAAAAATATCTGCAACACGCTGCTGGGGGAGGAGAACCAGACCTTTATAAATCATTTATTATCTAGAGACTGATTAATAACAGGAGGTTAAATCAGGTCCAGATGTGTGGTGATGTCATGGCTACGCTTCTGTTCCACCTCAGATTTGCTCCTGTTCTCCCCGGGTCCATACTCCCAAAACAAAGCTAAGCCTGAATCAGCTCCAGGTTCTGGATCCAGTAGGGTCTGAAGAACCGGACCCAGGTTGGGCGGTTCATGTTCCTGTTGAAGCTGAACCCTCACCTGCTCGTCCACCGCCATGAGACGCGGCTGCTGGAGCAGCGGCCCCACGAACTCTCCGGCTATCGGGTCCTCCACCAGCAGCAGGCGCGACACGCTCGACATGTAGCTCGCCTTCGGTTCTTCTCTGGACACTTCCTCTGCTGCCACCTGCAGGTGAAATTTGGAGGATTTAAGTTGCTCTTCAAGTTCAGCATCGAGCCTCGGCGTCTACAAACAGCTCACCTGGCTCCAGGTGGGGTCTGAAGATGAAGGAGGAGGCGGGATGATGCCGATGGAGGAGACGTTGTAGCCGATGGACTGACTGAGGTTCCCAGAAACCGCCGCCTGACCCAGATCATCGGCGATGCTCCTCAGCAGCGCGAAGTCTTCCTCATCTGAAAGAAAGAGGATCAGTTCATCTACGTTTCTCTGAGAACATCCAGATGGCGCGCCGGTTCCAGTACCAACCGGTGCTGTTGTTGCCGGTCTGCTGAAGTGGGGGCTTTTTGATCTGCACCTCCACCGTTAGGCCCGTGGACCTCTTCCTGCGCCGCGCGCCGCCATCCTCCCTGATGATCTTGGTGATGCGGATCATGCTGGGGGGAACTTTGAGGAACGTGGCCAGGTTCTGGATCAGGTTTTGACCGAAGAACTCGTCCTCGGTGAGGGCGGGCATGTTGAAGGCCACGACGATAAGCGGAGACGTCCTGATCTCCACCGGCGTGGAGCCTCTCAGCAGGACCTTCAGCAGCTTGTAGTCCTGGTCGAAGTAGTTGGATCCCATGGAGGCGTTCATCAGAGGCACGAACTCATCTGGGGAAGGAAAAATAAAAACATTTTCCTCAGAAAAGGACGGAAAAGGAAGCAGCCAGGTAAGGAAAACCTATCGAAGGATTTCACTTCCATGAACAGAGCTGCTGGAACGTGGAGCGAACAGATAACATGAAGTAGGATCCAGCTTTTACTGTTGGTCACTGAATCAGCCTCCTTCATGCTGACTGAGATTCAACTGGAGCCCAATGCTGACAAAGGTACAAAGTACATCATCATCCTGCAGGGATGCATCAAACTAACTCACCTGTTCATGTTGGCGGTCTGGTTTTTAGCTAGCAATGCAGACGGGCTTAAATTGTATGCCCTGTTTTTAGAACGTCTAGCTTTGGTACGCCCTAATTTTCCCCTGGAAACCTTTCAGTTTTGTTATCAATCAGGTGAAACTTTATCGGTCATTAGACACGCTAACGCTACAGATGCTACCGACTCGACACACGGACGCTGCGTGACGTTATTATCGTTTAGCAGCAGCTGAGACCTTATCTCCTGGTTATGAGAAGAGATTTCATAATTAAGAGATAAGCTATCTGATTCTTTGCTGAATGCAATACGCTCCATAAATACTGAATCAATAAAGAAAAATATGTTTTCTGACACATTAAACGTATTTATCAGATATGACAAAACTGGAACATCCCTTAATAAAAAACAAATAAAATATGTGAAACTTCTGATTTCCAATGAACAGAGATGTAGATCTATCATTAATAGACAGGGTTTGTCGCTCTGACTTGCTGTCAGACACGTTTCAGTGAAGCGGACGCTAACCGTGAGCTAGCTTAGCCTCGTGAGACCATCCTGATGTCGCGAGCTTTCAAGGTTTCACTCGCTAATCAGTCTGGAGACTCTCCGTTAAAGAAAATTTGGAGCCGTTCACCAAACGAACGTCCAATCAGCGTTGGCTTTGAGGCGGGTTGAGGTGTGACGCAACGAGAAGCGCGACAGTTCAGTCTAAAAAACATGGTGGCTTCAGCCGATGAAACTAGCGTTAGCGTGGCTATCCAGCAAGTTTTATGGGAATTACAGAGTATTTCTTCACTGAAAGAAGAGCAAAACACTGCTCTGGAGGCTTTTCTCAGAGGAAAAGATGTTTTTGCTCTTCTCCCGACTGGTTTCGGCAAGAGTAGCCTGGCTTGTGGTTGTGTTTTCGTCGTCGCTCTGTTAGTACGTCATATGCTTCGTTGATCTGATTGGTTTATTTGGCCCGTCTATCACCAACATAGGCCAATCAGCTAACCAGTATTTTCGCCCCTTCCCAAAATTACTTCAATGGAAGGTTTCCAGATGGATATGCGGAGCAAATCCATCTGGAGGAGTCAGGTTGGAGCTAGCTCTCTGTTTTTCAGAGCTGGGAGAGACTTTGTTCTGTTGGCAGATCTTTAAACAGGCGGTTCTGGTTTCTCTCTGAGGAACGTTAGAACTTTGGTCAAATGTTTTTTCTGGGTTTTAACTTCATATTAAACGCCAACATTGATGATTTTTTGACTTCTTTTAAAGTTTTTTTAAGTTAAGTTTTTTTTATTTTTCTTTGCTTTTATTGTCATGATCTTGGCGCTGATGGTTTGGTTTTTTCCTTTGCTCCTTGCTCTCCTGTCTAATTGGTTCTGCAGCTGATTATCGCCGATCATTTCCACCTGGTTCCTCTACTATTTAGGTTGTGTGTTTGCCTCCCATCAGCGCCAGGTTATTTCTGTGTTTTTGTGAGACGTTCCCTAGCAATCTGTAGTCTGTCTGTTTTCCTGATTTTGACCAGTTTCTGCCCTGAGGATCTCGAGTTTCTCTTTGCCCCTGTCTGCTCTGTTTGTCGTATCTGATCCTGGATTCTACCGGCTACTGATCCTGGAACAGCCTTGGATTTCCCTTCTGGACTCGGTTGCTGCTCGGCGTCGGCTGGCGCCCGCTTCGCTCACTCTCTAGGAACTCTGGGGGCGTCACCCGCCGCAACTGCAGTCAAACCTCCCTCCTGGATTCTGCTGTGTTCTCTGCGAACGGACTGAACTTTGAATCAGGTCAGTGACTTTGCTCCGAGTCATATTCAGCTCTACATCCAGTCACTGACCTGTATTCTCCTATCCCTGCAGAGATCCGCCCCGCAGCAGACGAGCAGCCCCCGCGCACCTGTTTGTTTAATAAATGCTTTGAACTTTCCCACTGTCTGTCTCGCCTTGAATTCTGGGTCCAACATTCTGACATCATTACATTTATTGCGTTTTACCTCTGAATGTCGGCTCCTTCAGGACGTAGTCGGTTCTGTCGTCGTTCCACACAGCGTTGGTCGGAGGAACCAGCCTGTTTTCCACGTAGACGTCCAGCTGCTGAGGGTTGGAGTAGAACACGGAGACCAGGACGCTCTGCAAGAGTCAAACAAGCAGCCATCGGATCGGGAACAAAGACGACCCAAATGACTGAACGCTTAGAGCTGCACAGACCTCAGCCGGGTCGGAGTTCAGCATCATGAGGCGGAGCTTCTGTGGGCTGACGCTGGTGAAGTAGACCTCGAAGGCGTGTCCAGTGGCCATGATGCTGTGGAACAGAGACACTCGCTCCTGGCACGTGTACCCGGCGCACCAGCCGTGATCCTGAGGCCCTGTGCAGCAAAACCTGGACGTGAAAAAGGTGTTCCACCTCACCTGGCCAGGGAGAAACCGCCAGAACCTTACCGTTAATCAGATCCACATAGCCGTCTCCGAGGACAGCCACAGGAGACAGACGACGGGTCTCTGTGTCCGAGTCCAGACTCTCGATCACCACCATCCTGTAGTTGAGGCCGAAGCACTCGTAGCTCTGCCAGGAGCTCATGTAGGTGCAGTTCTTCCTGATCACACCTGAACACAGCAGGTAGAAACCTCAGCTTCTGATAGAACCTGAACTATCAGGTCTGACTGAGGCGGAATAAAGGACCCGGAAGCGTGAAGTTCTCGCTTCCCGCCCTTCTTACCTTTGTGAGGAGCAACCTGCTCCACAGGGATCCGGCTGCCGTTCGGGAACGTCAGCATGACTTTGGGGATGCGATAGTCGCCCAATCCCCTCCTGGGATCTCCTCCCCACTCGTACTCGGACTGGGGCACCACGGTTCCCGGAGCTCCCAGGAAGGACCCGTCCAAGTCCCTCAGCAGGGTCTTCTTCTTGGCATCACAGTCCATGTCCACGCAGTCGGCTGGATTGGCTTTGCTGTGGAGCAGAAACATTAAACGCTCAATCAGACAGAAAACAAGACGGTTCGGTTCCAGGTTCTGTCCGAGAGGAACTCACCCCACATCCGGCCTGTGAATAAACACCTTGGCATCCTCGGTGCTGTCCACCATCCTCATGGCTGAAACGTGCACCGGGTGCTGCAGGTCCTCGTTCAGGGGGTTGGTGATGAACATGACGTTCTTCTGCCCGGAGCAGACATCACGGAAGCCAACCAGCGTCGTGCCTGAAGCAGAAGAACCAGGACTGAGGAGAGCGTCATGGAAACAAGCAGAGGAAGAAATCCCAGAACTCACCTGTGACCCTCATGAGGCCTTTGATGGCGTTGTAGTTCATGTTGAGGTGGTGGGGTTTACCGGGCGCCGTGTTGTGACCCGACTGGAAGTTCGGCCAGCAGATTCCAGATCGGCCTCCTGAACACAGCAGATGGTAGTAAATGTGGAAGTTCATATTCCAGGAACATTTGTTTCCAGTCCTGTTTCTGCTCCGAGTCTAAAGCGCATTGGGGAATAAATGATTAAAACATCCAGGTTCTTTATTGGCTGTCCAGCTCCACATGCAGCATGTCTGTTTCTGATTGGCTAATCACTGCAAGGTGACGACTCCTCTGCACTGAGACCATAGACATGAATATGTTCACACCTCATTGGACGCAGCGGGCAGCGAGGTCGATGTGCCTACAGGGCGGCCATCTTGGGTCAGACCACAGTTCAGAGTGCTGCTGTCAGAAATCTGTTCTGTTCTGACTCTTGAAGGAGGCGGTCGCATTTTCCTGCTGCTCTGCAACGCCCTGATCTCCCTGCTGTCCCTGCTTTGCTGTGTCTTGTCCTTTTTTGAGCTCTCCAATCAGCCAAACTCAAACAATGGATCTGATCAGCTAGTCTCTTAATGCAATTGATCAAATGTTCTCAAGTGGAAGACGGGGAATAGGGGACCCGTCCGGTGCTGCTGGGACATACTTGATGGGATACACCATGGACTCCTGGAAGGCTTGGAGGATGGTGCGTTTTGCAATGCTGTCAGTGCAGGATATCGAAGATGTATAGATTTTCTGACTTATGATACTCGGATTTGTCCTGTTTGGATTTGGAGGATACCTGAGCATACCTGTATCTACAATTACAAAGGATGTCTGCGGTAATTTGGGCATTGATCAGGCTGCCAGCAGCAGTTGATGCACCAAAAAAGACCGTGAGCTGAGCCGTATGCTGGGTGCGATGAACGCAGGCTGGCTGCGCTGGTTGAACTCATAGGTGAGATAGGATAATATGGTGGATGTGCACGCTGACTTCAAGGCGAAAAAGCCCAATAAATTTGGAATATTGGATTTCGCCAGGTAGAGCCAGCAAGAAAAGATTCAAGGTTTATGGTAAATTCCTGTGCAGCCTGCTCTCAAAACAATAAGTGTTATCCTGGATTCGGCCTCCCCCCCCTTATCAAAACCCCCCCTGGATGTTATGGCGGAAGGGCCCAGAAGAACTGCTACTCCTTCAAATGTCAGATTGACCTTCATGTGGCTCCAGCCTCCGATATTTTCCTTCTGCTGAAATGTTTGACTCATGTTATATGAGCTTTTTTTGTGCTGACGTGTTTTTTTGGTATCTCAAACTGTTTCCTGTCAAAGATAAAGTGTAAAATATGCATTTTTTCCCTCTCTTAATCCAATGTGGCTCCTATCCTTCCACAGAGATAAAGGCAGCGCTATAGGGAATCACCTCAGGGTGGCGCCCTTGGCCGGCGTACGAACACGCCAAAGGCAGCGTTCATGAATGGTTTGTCCTGAAACTGAAATCTCGATAACAATGTAACTTGTAGTTGACAATAAAGAAATTGATTGATTTGATTGATGAGAATGAATCAGACGCCTTAGATTCCAATAATCTCTTACATGTCACCATCCCTTAAAAGACCAAAACAAATTTTATAATCATCATTCGGTTAGATTTAAACATTTTAAAAACAATTTAAAGGTATAGATGAGGATCTTTTATTTCCGGATGGATCATCTCGATAAGTGGTCCTCCTAATTGTCAATCATTCTGGCGATATGTTTATGTAAGGCCGCGTTTATAGGCTGTCGATACCCGACAGCGGCGACTAAAGCAAAGTCACTCCTCCTTCATCACGGTCATTCATCTGTACTTTTATATCTTTGGATCATAATCTTAGTTTTCCAAAGTTGCAACATTTTCTTTCTCCTATGTTTGCACCACCGTTTGAATCTGCCGTGAAATCATTCATTTGCACGGCGTTAGCACCCCTCAGAAACCTCCACATAAATATTCATCCGTATGACTCTGACCTTTGACCTGTTGATATAAAAGGCTAAACCAAATACGTTCAGCGGTGATAAAGTCCGTGGAAACAGGAAGCAAAGCATCACCTTGAGGAGGCCTGGGAGCTCGGTGTGACGATGAGGAGGCGACGTTGAAGTCGTCGGAGCTCAGCGTTTCCGAACAGTTGAAGTCTGGACTGCTGCCAACAATCAGGGAATTCTGGGAAAAGACAAAAAGTGGGAATGAATGTAAAAGCGTCCAGGCTGAGCAGCTGCAGGCGTCACTCAGACATCCTGGACCGGCTCACCTGAACGTCCACAGTTTTATCTGCGTATGCATGTGAGAGAGAAGGAGGACCGTAGATGAGGGGCATGATGCCCATCCCGTTATCCACCAGCGTCACGTTGGAAATGACCACGTCCATGGTGACCTGAGGAGGAGACGGGGGTCAGTTCATCGGTTCACCAAGCTTTCTTTTTTTACTTTTTTCTTTAAAAACTGCTAAAAAGGAACAATTAACATGAAGAAATTAGCAAATTAATGAGTCGGGACAAAATAAAGAATCATTGTGGTTTATATAAGTGAGCGTTTCTGATGAGCGAAACGAATGATTCAATGAATTAAATAAAATGTCAAACTCACTGGTGGCTAACTGACCCTCACTGGTGGCTGACTGGCCCTCA